AAAAAAAAAAAAAAGGCAAAAGAAACCAAATGACATATTGCTTCATAAAACCTCTTTAAAGTATTCAAGAGCAAAGGTGTCATTTTGAGGACTAAAGTGCATTTGACCCAAGCCGTGGTGTTTTCAATAACCTCATACCCATGTAAGAGTTGGACAATGAGTCAAGAAGACCATAGAAGAATTAATGCATTTGAGCTATGGTGTTGGAGGAGGGTATTAAAGGAACCACGGACTGCCAAAAGAACAAACAAATCTGGGTTAGAAGTACAGCCCAAATGATCCTTAGAAGCCAGGACGGCCAGAGGTCGTCTCTCATATTTCGGACATACTACGAGGATGTCCCTGGATAAGGACATCATGGTTGGTAATGTGGTGGGTCAGCAAAAAAGAGGAAGAATCCCAACTAGATGGATTGGCACCAGAGCTCCTTCTTTTAACATTTGTTGTTAAGTGCCGTCGAGTCGGTTCCGACCCATAGCAACCCTGTACAGGGTTTCCGAGGGTGTAAATCTTTACGGGAGTAGAAAGCCTCATCTTTCTCCCGCGGAGCTGCTGGTAGTTTCGAACCGCTGACCTTAAGGTTTGCAGCCCGATTCGTAACCACTACGCTACCAGAGCTCCTTTAACATTAAGGAGAGATAAATAGTACTAAAGTACTGTTTTGATAGATACTTAAATACTTCATCCCTCCTTTCTGTAAAATAAAACTGAAATTCCTCATCCAGTAAAAAAAAGCATCTGAGTTCCAGGACCTGACTCAGTTTCTAATGGTGAGCAGGTTCCCGATGCCTGGAAGGGGTATGTGTCTCCTGCTCCTCAACACCTAGCTTATGGGAATAAGGCAGCTCTGCTGTTCTTGTTTCGGCCATGTAGTGCGTGCTATGGGTGAGGCGAGTTGCCGACGAGTAGGCAGTAATGTGTCAGGTTACTTGTCTGACCTGGGACCCTAGCACTGGATCTTGGCTGGGGGAAAGCACCAGGGGGCGAGGTTGGTCTGAAGGGACAGGGGTCCCAAGGAGTCCCCTGTCTGCACTGGCCTTATTCCAGTGTTGGGGGGCCAGCCTGCTGCACCTTTCCCTAGCTCTGACCTGCTCCTACTACGGGCCCTGTGCCTGACACCAGCTCGCTAGTGTGGCTTGGAATACATGGGGCGTGACTGAGTTGGTGGCCGGATTGGAACTGGAAAACAATTGGACAGCGGACCTGAATGTTGCTCTTGAAGAATGTCGGGATTGGTGTATATGAGAGTCTGAGGGACTGCCCATGCGATATTAAACAGCAATTGGACCTAAGAATCTGGTGTGGGCGGGACCTTATAGAAAGCTAACCCGCAGACGCACCCAAAACTGATTGGACCACAAGGCCTGGTCAGACCTTCAAAAGAGGCGGGAAGTCCATAGCCGTTTAGGAGACTGGTTGGGGTTTTATGTGAGAAGGTGTGGCTAGGTTCGCTCACAGCAGCTGAATTCACTGGTGCTGGAGTCCAGGTCACTTCCATGACACCAAACGTCCTGTGTATAGATGAAGCCCTAGCCACCTTCCCATTCCCAGAATTGTGCAAGTACTTCCGATTAGGAAGCTGCAGGACGGGACGATCCTGCCCCAGTGGAAGACTGATTTGGGCCTGGGAGCCTCTGGATCCATCCCTCCTGCAGCTAGCGTCTCTTGCGGAAACCTGTCCTGCCTGCGACCTTAACCCTTACTTCTTTGTTCTCAGACCCGTGCCTTCTGCTGAAAGCCTGCACATCTGCCTCACGCAGCAAGCTGTCCAAAACCTCCTGACAGAGGTGGCTAGATGGCCAGGCGAGACCTCGGATGGATGTCAGGCTTACCAGTTTGAATTGTCCCTGTGGGCAATGGGGATCCGCCCCCTCCCCCCCAAAAAAAGGTAAGTTTTGGAATATTAATCTATACCTGTGGAGAATTCTAGTATTGTGCTGTAGGATAAACACTGCAATGCTAACCACAAGGTTGGCAGTTCCAACAAACCGTCATCCGTTTGTGGGAGAAAGATAAGGCTTTCTGCTCCTATGAAGATTTACAGCCTTGGAAACCCTATACAGGGTCATCTCTCATACTTTTGGCATATTATCAGGAGGGACCAGTCCCTGGAGAAGGACATCATGCTTGGTAAAGTGAAGGGTCCGTGAAAAAGAGGAAGGCCCCCAATGAGATGGACTGGCACAGTGGTGGCAGCCTCAATGGGCTTAAGCATAGCAACAATTATGAGATTGGCACAGGACTGGGCAATATTTTGTTCTGTTGTGCATAAGGTCGCTATGAGTCAGTACCAGCTCAACAGCACCTAACAACATACACTATTTATTGAGAATTTACTATATATTGTCATTATATAGTACTATCATTATCATCTGTTACTAATATTACCACTACTAGTAAAGGAGGTGACTTGGTGTGGTGCTGTGGGATAAAGCACTAGACTGCAAGGTCGGTTTGAACCATTAGGTCAGTGGTTCAAACTTACCAGTCACTCCTTGGAAACTCTATACAGGGTTACTATGAGTCAGAATTAACTTGATGGCACTTGATAACAATGGCTAGTAAAGGAGTCCTGGTGTAACACCTTAGGATAAGCACTCCACCCCAAGGTCAGTTTGAACCACAAGGTCAGTGGTTCAGACTTACCAACTGCTCCTTGGAAACCTTATACAGGGTCACCATGAGTCAGAACTGACTCGATGGCACTTAACAACAACTAGTATATGAGCCCTGGTGGCGTAGTGGGTTGCGTGTTGGGCTGCAAACCACAAGGTCAGCAAGTCAGATCAACTAGCCACCCTGAGGGAGAAAGATGAGACTCTGCACCCATAAAGATTTATAGCTTTGGAAACCCTATACAGGGTCGCTATGAATTGGAACTGACTCCACAGCCCACAACAACAAATATCTCAAAAGTGATGAACTCAAGATACACCCCACATGAATTG